ATGGCGTATGAATCAATCGTTGGTGACCGATTACCATGGGACTGAATCTTCTCACGATGCTCCATTTCATTTGAAACAATTTCGTGTTCTTCATCAGATCAAATATAAACTTGTAAGATTCTAATGAGTCACCAAGTTTCGTAAGTTGTGATTAACAGTCGAAACGTTAAGTAACATGGTACACAGTCAATTACAATGACGCTGATGCATTCACTTTTCTCCTATTTTTTGTGTTCAAGTTATTTTATACTGTTATATTTCGCGAAATAGGTACAGGAAGTCTACCTGCTTGAGGTTCGCGTTATCATCGCCATCAATGCCTAAACTTTGAATGATATGACTAAAGATTTTCCTCAACGGCGTACACGCATTCACTTCTCATTCCCCTTCATATTCTAATTTTTTCACTCACTAGTTTAAAACTTATTCTATAATTGTATCCTGAATGCTTGCTGATATCACTAAGCAACATTGATCTCCTACCAGGGGGTCCACTAAGCGACAGATGACGCAGATGACATAGTCCTGTTCGGTGAAGACTTTGACAAAATGCAGAATATTCTGTTAGAACTGTGTAATGCCGGGATGTTTGGGATGCGTTTCTTCCCCATCTAAATGTAAATTGTTACTCCAGGACTGGCCTGCGTCAACACCCGAACTAAGGATAGGGAGTGAAGTAGTCGAACGCGTTGACAACTTCACTTATCTTGGAAGTCTAATCAATCCTAATGGGTTGGTGTCTGACGAAGTATCAGCACGGATTCAAAAAACTCATTTGGCTTATACCAATCTAAACATCACCTGTGACGACGGCGAAATATCCTTCTATCGATTAAGGGACAAGTATTCTGCACGGCAGTTCGTTCTGTTCTATTTTACGGCTGCTAAACGTGGCCATTAAAAGTAGAAGATACTCGCAAGTACTAGTATATGACCATAGATTTCCTAGAAATATTGCTCGCATCTACTGGGATCACCGGGTAAGTAATAGTGAGGTCAGACACAAAGTATTTGGGAATGATGGTAAATCAGTTGATGAGGTCATGAATCTTCATCGACTGAGATGGTTAGGTCACGTGTTACGTATGCCTGAACACAGATTACCATGACGCGCAATGCTGAACAGTATAGGGGATGGTCGAACGAGAGTTAGGGACGGCCAAACCAAGGCGTGGCATCAGAGCTTGAAGTCACTTACTTCTAGTCTGAGCCATGTTTATAGATGTAGACTACATAGTTGGGGTCCGCGCGACTATCGTAATCAATGGTTGAAGATTCTGAGTGACATGGCTTAGAATCGATCACAATGGCGTAGGTGTACACACTTTCTGTCTTCCCTTAAACATTGAGATTAAAATTTCTTCATAACTTTCTTTCTTCCTATACTATATCATTATATACAATCTTTTATATATTAACACCACTAAATTAACTACTTCTATGAATCCGGTGTTCATCTTGTTGTGCTAACGAGGTATGGCAACTTAGACTGATGCATAAATGTGCCTAGTCCTATGTTGTAGCTGACTGACTGTACAACATATGGCAGTTTTGACGTTGCTTACAATCCACATTCGGAAGTAAACATTCAATGCTGAAAAAAGTTATTAGTCAGTTGAATGACGATGTAGTAGTCATTTTGTCACATATCCTTTCACAGCACAGCACAACACAATCATCATCATTATCATATGACAGAAAGAATTCCATCACATCAAACTATAATAAAAAAAGAAAAACACATTCGGAAAAAAAAACATTATCCTGAATTGCATCAAATTACAACAGAAGAAAAAAAAACAAATTTTTTTTGTAATATCTAACATGGATACATACAAATGTGATTGTGTAAAGAAAAAGAAAACAACTTACACAATGCTTTACTCTGTCAAGCTTAATCAGCAATCATAATGAATAAAAGGAATGACAATCAATTGAAGGACATGAAATATACATATATATTAATAAGCCGATACAAACAAGTAAGCTTAGACACAAATCATTTCATATCAAGCATATATATATATATATATATACTACTTATGCTTTGAAGGACTTTACAATCCAGGAAATATGTCATTATTATCATTGAAGAAGGAGTAGTAGTTGTAGGAGTACTAGTAGTTAGTTAGTTATGCATTTAAATCAAATTTAGCGTCATGTGTTCATTTGCCAATCACATTAAAACAGGTTAAAAGGAACACGAGGTTATTGAAGAGAAGAAAAAAGGAAATGAAACCGAATACAATCGCATAAACACTTTGTATAACACATGGTCTATTTCCTTTTAAAAGTGAGAAGTATAACAATCACTTAATAAAACATATAGACAGAACGGTAGTTCTTGGAAGCTCTTGTTCGCTTTTTCATATGGTAGACATTAAAGATGAAAAAAATTTATTCTTATTGCTTTCTTTTTATACTAGGAGACGATAAGTGACAATGCTTACCACCATTAATGATATCAATAAAAGAGGTATATGTGCGTGTAAAGATCAAGAATGATTGATTGTTGTACTGAACAGATCTTTTGTGAACTCTTGAAGAAAAACAAGAAAAATATAAGAACCCTCATTTTATTGTATACGGTGAAAAGAAGCTAAGATATAAATACATAGATGAATACACTTCAGTTTATGTATTGCTTACAATAGAAATCAAAATGTGCAACAACAAAAAATAAAATAAAAGGTAGAGAAAAATTGAAGAAGAAGAAGAAGAAAAGAAAACAAGATGCAGCAAGACACAAAAAACCATTCGAAAGTATTACGTATAAACCATGTTGCAACCAATAAGCACAACTACAGATATACATAAATATACATGAAGAGTGAGGGGGGAGAAGGAGAGGATTCACCGATACCATTCTAACTATACTTCATTAATGATAAAATTGGAAGCAAATATTGAATAATATATATGTTTATGAGAAAGGCAAAAAATCCATTACCTAGCAGCCATGTACAAAATTCAAACAATAAAACTATGTACAGGCATATGAATACACCAAAACACACACACACATATATATATATATATATATATATATATATATTTGAACCAATATAATTATGGAATTGAAATACATTGGTCACAACAACTGGACCCTGGGATAAAGGGAAGAGAGATTGTATACGTAACGATGTTAACGCTGGCAGTACTAGATCAATCCTTGAGTACTTGTTCTACCGATTCCATTTACTTTTATAATGAGCTATAGAGATATTGTTCATTCATTAAAGCGTTAAACAATTTAGAACAATAACAAAATAACAGTAATATCTTTTGAGAAAAGGAGGATTGTACTCACAGTCCACCCCACCCCACCCCACCCCCAAAAAAAGAAAGCTATTAAAACAGTGTTTATATATATAAAAAACAAATTGAGAGAATGGTCAATCGGTTTTAAGGAGGAAGTTTATTTTAACAAACAATAACAACAACAAAACAACATCCATTTAGACGAAGAATATTGACTGAAGAAGAATGAAATGTATAGTCATCATCACCATGTTCAAAAATGAAACGAATACATACATATTACAAAAGAGAAAACAATACAAGTATAGAACAAAGACATAGAGATTACATAATAACAATAAAAATGTAATGGTAGTCAAAATAATGTTTGTGTGTGTGTATGAGAGAGTGGAAACACATTTTAAAAACTCCTAAACAGAAAAAAAAAAGAAATGAAAAACAGTTCTCCATCATTGTTCTTCCATGGGATTGAACAATGAGACTTTACATATAGAACGTTTAAAAGTATGGAATTTTGACGTAACACAAACACACACACGCAACAGAGAGAGAGAGAGAAAGAGGAATTCAAGGTGAAGTCGTTCTTTCATATTATAAACTATTCCATTTTGATATTCATCTATCCTTTCTATGTACATGGATATAGAATAATGAGAGATAATAGTGTGTGTGTGTGAAAGAGAGAGAGAAAGGCCACTTTGAAAGACGCAACAAATAGAAGTAACCATGTATTTATCATATATATATATAAATTATAAATTGGGCACACAAAATGAAAAAAACAAAAACAAGATAAACACCAAGTGATTTCACCGATCTCTATGATAAGAAAACATAAATAAACAAAAACTTGATATCATGATTACACTCATCCATACATACAAATATAATGGTCATAACTGGACTCTAGGATAAATGAAGAGAGATTGTATTCGTAACAATGTCAGCACCGACAGTAACAGTAACAAGATCAATCATGATTATACTCATCCATCCATCCACTCATAAATACATTGTGTCAATAAGTGAAAAAGCTGTTTTGGATAAGAACAAAATAAAAAAAGAAAGGAAAGGAGGGAGGGAGGGAGGGAAACAACAACACAAACGGATAAAGAAATAATGAATTAACAAAAAAGACTTTATTACTGAGATGGAAGATAAAGGAGAAACACGACGATGTATACATTAGATCCTGAGATTTTGTTTTCAGCAAAAAAAATTTATGTATTCAATGAATGTTTTATACGGTCATTATTAAGTGTTTTATTCAATATATTGGTTACTACATGGTTGTTATGAGTACTAGTAGTAGTAGTAGTATCCAGTAAATGCTAAAACAACAACATCATGGTGAAGAGGCCAGGGCAGGATATGAAATCATTTTATTATACGATACGATTATGTCACAATTGTAGGTATTGTGATGTAAAAAAAGAGAGAAACGCACACACACACAAACGAAAGGAACAAAAACGAGAAAAAGGCAAAGCAAATACATGTGTACAAAAACACATATACATTATTATAATACAATAGTAGCTATAGTAACAATAATTATCATAATAATACACCGTTTAAATGAATCAACGGAAAAATATTAAAGTGTATCAAAGCAATAATAACAAACTGGATTTACATACACGTATACACACACATGAGCATCACCATCATCATCATCATCGTTACCATGACTCTTTTCTGGATGAGACAGACATGGATACCAGATGATAGTAGAAGTACTAGATAAACTGAGATCGAAGACGTCGATCTTTCGATCGTTGACCAAAGCAGCCACAACAACTACAAACATTTTTTAAATAGAAAAAATAATGCTTTCATTGAAAATAATATCACGTACACAGAGAAAGAATATAACAACAATAATAAGAGGAAAACAAATTAATAACAATAATAACAATTATCATGTGCTCAATAGTGACTAACTTCAATAGGCAACTTCCGGAGTTCTAGTGAGAAGCTATGACTAATGCAGCTCAACCATATCGAGTACCCGACAGTCATCCTCCACAGTCAGTGAATCAAGGTTAAGTAACATCGTGAATTCATTGAAGTTATACAATAACACTGTTGGATACCGACCGATTAAGTGGTGTAGAGTATGAATGTTTGTGCATAAAACCGAAGGTTATAGGTTTAATTCTCAGATGCGTGGTCGTAGTTATGCATTACTGAGGAATGCCATACTTGGATGGAACGGTCATGCAGTGCTCCCACATTTTCGAAAGAGGTCTCAGTCAGTCAGTCACAACGTAGAACTTCGTACGTACGTACATCAGTTCGAGTTGCCATACCAAATTAGCACAGAGATGAAGTTGTCGATTCAAATCCCATAGTGGTAGAAGTAGTAGGAGTATAATCAGAAATCCAAAAGATTAGGGTTTGAAGAAATTATTGAAGGAGTATAGTACAGTGAAATAAATTTGGAAAGAGAAAAAGATAAATACATGAGGAATTCAGAAGATTAGAATTTGGTAGAACACAAAGAGTGGATGCATCTTCGCCATTGCAAACGATTTTGACCCATGTCATTCAAGGTCTCTAACCATCGGTTGCTGTCATCTCTCGGATTCCAACCAGGTAGTCTACACCTACCAACATGGCTCAGTCCACATGTCAGTGACTTCATTGATTTGTGCCACGTTTTGGTCTGGCCGCCCTTAGCTTTCTTCCAACCTACTCCTACGCCATGAAACATTGCACGTCGGGGTAGTCGGTGGTCGGGCATAGGTAACACATGTCCCAGCCATCTCAACTGATGAAGTTTCACTACTTCATCAATCGATTTGCCATCCCTACCTAGTACTCGTTTCCTAACAACCCGACCGTTGCTGCTACCTTGACGTGGTGGTCGGGCTTGCCTATCGTGATGATCCAATCGAGCTATGCTGGCTGGAACAATCGTTCCTCAAGGTCCTACCATGCCAGACAGGTCGGTTGAAGAGCGGTGAGACTAAAAGCAGCAATCCCAAGGTCCGAAGGCGAAGTCGTACTGCTGACTGTACAGAGGTGTGAAAGCAGTAAGGTGTTTCCTTCAGACAACCAGCATGACAGCGATGCTGCCTTCCCGCAAGGAGGGGTGGGGTTAGAAAAGGTCGACCCTAAAAATGCACACCTCGCATTATCCCACGGATTTCCGTCTCCGGCAGTAAGGACTTTTGAAGAACGGAGCTAACACGTCAAAAATCCCCGACAAAAAGGCCGTGCGTGACCGGCCTCAAGCAGATGTCCCTTGGGCACTGCGGTCACGCTCCCAGGTCGTTAAGACCAACACTAATCCAACTTCTTTTTCAGGTCACTCAAGAAATACCCTTCCACGGTGTGGGCAGCCGGGAAGTGATACTAGCCCTCATACCCTTAACTAGCACACAAGACCAAGTTGGTCGCTTTCAAATCCTTCGAAAGAGGTCTAGCTAAAATTAGTTAGTGACCTTGCTCTAAATGAGCTGGAGAAAAATAGGGTGAGGAAAATCCGCTCTCCTTCTCCGAATGCTGTCATATGGTCACACATATACAGCCACTGACAAGCATGTCCTACTCGCTGCTTTCTCGAGAAGGGGCTGCTGTTCACGAAATTGAGAGAACAAAAAGTGAATGTCCGGAGCTTTAACCAGGTTGGTGAACATGGTGTATCCATCTAGGGAAGTTGGAAACCCTTATTCTAAACAAATGCTGCACATTGCATACCAGAATCCTGAAGAAACAAATGGAGTACTTACCTAATTTTGATCACCCGCCATCATGTGATCTCACAACGTTGCTTCACTGTCCAGTGGATTAGACCTCTAGATCAAAGGCTCAGGGGGTGACATCCTGAGAAAAACCACCGGCTTTGCTTTTCGCATTCCAATATTATACTAGTCCACACAAATTCAGTGGTTTGTGTGATGCATATTTATTATGGCACACACACAAACTGTGTAAGTCATCAATATAGAGATTAATATTCTTAGATTTTAAGTGTTTTTGAACTAAAGATTTTTTCCAAATTATGAGGTCCTCTTTTTCTCAAGAACAAAAAAATTGCGAACTTACCCTGATTGGCTTTGTATATCATCTTGTTCAACGCCAACTGCATTTTCAGGTGATGATTCTGTTGTCGCCATGCCAACTCCCATACCTAAATTATCATCAATTTCTCGAGCCATACTTTCTTCTGGACCACCACCACTATATAAACCAGTTACATTCCGAATATGTGTACCGCCAGCATTTGTACCGGATACAGCACCGCCGGGACCATACGGTAAACCACTAGAGTTTGAAGTGGGCATAGCAACACCAGCACCAACGCCTCCGACACCAGTAGGTCCAACATCATCTACAATGCCGTCATTAGGTGAACCAATTTTATTAGCACCAAGAAGACCGGCATGCATAATAGTTTGATTTGTTGGTTGCTAATGAAAAATTAGATAAATGTATACAATAATGAAAAATTTGATGGATGATGTACACTTTCGAAGTAAACAAAATTTAAAACATTTTCATGTAAATCTTAATATAAATGTATAAACTAACCTGACCAAAATAGGAAGGTAAATATTCATCAACTTTATATCTCATTTCATTTGGTGATGTACCGCCATCTTCATTGATATAACTAGGTACATTATTTGATTGTACAGCAGGTGGCCAATGAGATGTGCCAGGATCTAATAAAGGTGTTCCGGTTAATCCCATTGCGTGATGCCCACCGTTAACACCAGGACTTTGTTGATTACCATTCACTGGATGATGAGTAGGAGAAGTGAGTCCAGATGTGTTTTGTACACCATTATTCATACAACTAGCATTCCCAGTAGGAACGTTGGTTAAAGGTGGATTTACTGCCTGTCCTCCAGATGTATGTGTAGATCCTGGAGGCTAGAACCCATATAGAAAATGAATAACAATAATAGTAAATAATACACCACTAAAGAGTGAGAAAACTTCAAGATATGTTTAAGTCCATCCAGCAAATGACCCTCATTATTATATTTACAATCGAATTTCGAAGAAAACAGAAACTCATCAAGCAAATTAATGATACAAACTAAAGTCTTTGTGAAATAAGAATGTTTTTTATCAGTTCACTTAGTATTGTTTGTTTGAATCTTCCCATCAATGTGTTAGGACTGTAACTGGTCAGTCTCTAATTAGCATATGTGCATACTGTGCATATTGCCTGTGCATATAGCCTTAATTCACAAGCATGGTAAGCAAAGATGGATAGTGGCTAGCAGTGGAATCCAGGAGCAAGGGTACTGGGTTCGAGTCCCAGAGTGAACATCAACTCAGAAATGCAGGTACATCCAGCTGACAAGTTTTTTATCAGTGTTTATTAAGTTAAGTGATTGTAGTTAAAAATGTATAATGTCAATGCAAATAAGAAACGTAACGCGACAGGTTGTATTTGAGATGGTTTAAAGGGGGAATAATAATATCAGTATATGGGGACTTGTGGAGATTGTAAAATCGTACCGATTCAAATCACGAATTGATCATAGCTAGACCTCTTTGGAAAATGTAGGAGGACTGCATGGCTGTTCCATCCAAGTATGGCATTCCTCAGTAATGCATAACTACGACCACGCATCTGAGAATTAAACCTATAACCTTCGGTTTTATGCACAAACATTCATACTCTACACCACTTAATCGGTCGGTATCCAACAGTGTTATTGTATAACTTCAATGAATTCACGATGTTACTTAACCTTGATTCACTGACTGTGGAGGATGACTGTCGGGTACTCGATATGGTTGAGCTGCATTAGTCATAGCTTCTCACTATAACTCCAGAAGTTGCCTATCGAGATTAGTCAGCTGTCTTCTAAAGGTCAAGCGTTTATGCACAAGACTAAAGGTCGTGAGTGTGCGCTCCTAAAAAACCTTCTAATGCTTCCAGGTTTTTATAGTCTAACTAGGACTAGTCCGTGATTTCAATTTTGTTATATATCCCTGAAAACCAGTGGGAAAGTATAGTCTTTTAAATGTAAATATGAGGTAAGACGTAAGTAGACCTGAGGCCTGTTAGTCTCAATTAAGTAGTCTGAACATCCTCATACATTCACGTCCAATAGTTAGTGATTCTATGAACTAGTAATATGTCTCAATATGATGTGACCTCAACCTTCTTCCAACCTACATCTCCTATGATGGTCAATTTCGCTAGTTTGAGGAGGTATGAGTAACAATATCCCAACAAATTCAGTTGATGAAAATTGTCCTGCCTAATAAATAGAATAACCAATTTATACCTAAGACATCAAACCTAAAATTGAGCGTTACTTTTCTGGTTGTTTGGTCAAGCATGATGAGCGCTTTAAAGATATCTATGATATAAAAACTTGCAACTTCATATGCTTTCGAAGATCTAAGGTCAAGTTCCATATTCACTATGTCATACAAAGCGAATTGTTGTGTGACAATACTTGTGCTATGATGATAGGTACAATGGAATTTCGAACTTGTCATAGATGGCATCCAATGTATATCGTCGTCAGCCAGTGACCCAAACTCTCATCGGTTCATCCGGAAAACTTGACAGTCAAACTAATTTCAATTAGCTAGTAAAGTTACCGACAATGAGTTTAGGTCTTAACCTTATCTCTATTTTTAAATCAAGTAGTTTGATGGTATGAATAATCTATACACAAAATAATTCAATCATGGCATCTACAGAATGTAATTCTGACTTATTATTAGCAATTTTAGTAGATACAATAACCCTTTTTAATTACAATTGATGCATACGTATCAAAATTCTCTAATCCCTATTGAAGATGATGATATTCACTGGATGAAATGAACTATGAGTTAGCCGGTTTAGTGCAAGTCATTCATCTGAAACGAAATAGTCGTTTATAAGTACTTTCTAAAAGTAAGTGGTTGGCGGCAGTGTATTTGTAAACAGAACAGCTTAGTGGTAACGTTTCAAACTGCGAAGCTGGGTGATAATATTTCGAATCTCACAAGGAACATAAACTCCCTCAAGATTGTAGATACGCTATGCTGACGGGCGCCAACTAGCACCAAACCTAGATCCATAATCTCCTGTCCAGTACTTTTAATCAACTAACATTTCAAAATAGTGGATGTTGTATCAGGCCACTCAGGTTTGTGGCTACATTACAACTAGCTTGATCGAATCCAACCAGACAAACTTAACATTGGTCACTACTCAGTGACTGATGAATCCTAATATTCAATATACAATTAACCAGCGACAGTTACATGGTTATATATATATAGTTTACTTTAGATCCAGGTAACGGTCGACTGCACCAATCGAATTCCCAATCACATTCCCAACCTTTTCTTTGCATTAAATCCGTAAATCCCCAACGTAAATACTCATAGTTGGGCTCTTCGAAAAAATCTAAACTTCGAACATATCGTAAATAGGTAGCCATTTCTAAAGAAAAACATGAAGAAAAAAATGGCAGTTTTGATATGAAAATAAGCGATGAAAGAGCATGGATTTCAGCGATTGGGTCGTCACTTTCAACCTGGTCTCAATTACATCATCATTAACTGGACAGCACCATGAATGATGTCCGTTTATTTAAAAATAAAGGTTTATATATTCTGATTTCAGTCAAGCTTTAATTGTGTGAATAGGACACACTTTGAGGAAATCACCCAATTGCGTCACAAGACAAGCCCTCACATGGAATCCTCAAGACAAGAGGAGAAGAGGAATATCAAAGAACACATCACGTCGAGAAATGGAGACAGATAAGAGAAGAATGAACAAAAACTGAATAGAACTAGAAAGGAAGGCCCAGGACAGAGTGTGTTGGAGAATGCTGGTCGGCGGCTTATGCTCCATTGGGAGTAACAGACGTAAGTAAGTTAATTGTGTAAGGCCTTCTGACATTACTCAGATGCCTAAACCAACGTATGTGAGGTGAGGTTCGAACTAACAATCTATAAACCGTTAATAGGCAAGTCCTATGACTAGTATGTCAATGTTCAACAAGACAATACAACAATAGTGGTTTTCCAACTTCCCTAGATGAATACTCCATATTTAACATCCCATTTAACGCGCAGAACATTAGCTTTTCGTCCTTTCAATTTCATGAACGCAGTCTCTTCTCAAGTAGGCAATGAGTAGGACTTGCCTGTCAGTGGCTATATACGCGTGGCCGTGTGAGAGCGTTTCGAGAGGAAGAGTGGAATCTCCTCATCCTTAGATGTACCAAGGCATTTGGGGGCAAAAATAAATATTCACTGATTTCATACCAGTAAGAACCATTGGTGCTAATCATTATTCAACGTGTTTGGATGCTATCAATATAGTGAAACTTGGGTTGAAGGTTGAAGACCTCCTAAGAAAACCACCTGCTTAGGTCTGGGCACATGGGCAGTATCACAGCCCTCACACAAATCAAATAAGATTTGTGTGGCACATATGTATCTGGTGTCCCCTTTGTACCAATATTTATGTGTTTAAATAAATAAATACTACTTTCGTATGAACTCCATGTTAGACACAGAAAGATATCATGATGAAGAAATTTTATTGTAGATTAACATAAAATATCAGAAAAAATTTGTCTCTGTAAATCACTTCAGAACCAACCATTCAGTTATGCTGTGAACTAAGTTAGATAACGGCCAAATAAAGATATGACAATAAACCATGAAGTCGTTAACTGTTGTTCACAGCTTGAGCCAATACATATTTAATGACAGGTTCTATGTTTATTATATATGTCTGTCGCAAAGCCTTCAGCCACATAATACTTAAGATCTCGGTCAACCTACAACAAAACGTCATGGACTAATCACCACCTTTGAACTTATTCAACCAGTCTCAATATCAATAAACAACTCACACGACGCAAGTAACAAGATGATATCATACCAGAACTGGTATTTCAGCATGATAAAACTTATACAATCTAGATCTTCATTATGTCCAAAGACACAACACACGATCTCAATGTGATTTACATAGTGTTCTCATCATGCATCAGTAGTCTTACAGAGATAATGACGTTGTTTAAAATTGAATTCTTATATTTTTCCCTCATTTAGAACTATTTGAATCGATGTATTTTACACTTCTTGTCAAGACATCACTCCAGTATAATACATCAAAACAAGAGATATTTAACACTAAATCCTTTGAAATATCAAGCACCTTTGAATATAGATAAATGTAGACCTACATCATTATTACATAATCATCTTACGGAAATAATTTAAAAATTAATCATAAACATAGAACTCTATTATACATATTAGATATATGTTGGAAGCGGACAGGACACATATTGAGGAAATCACCCACCTGAGTCACAAGACAAGCCCTCACATAGAATCCTGAAGGTCAAAGGAAAAGAAGAAGACCAAAGAACGAATTACGCCGAGAAATAGAGACAGACATGAGAAGAATGAACAAAAACTGGATAGAACTAGAAAAGAAGGCCCAGGACAGAGTGGGTTGGAGAATACTGGTCGGCGGCCTATGCTCTATTGGGAGTAATAGGCGTAAGTACGTAAGTAAGTAAGTAATAAAACTATACAATATAATATATTCTATTAATTACATCATTTCAACATGGAAAGACCGTACACACACACACACGAAAAAAAAGGAAACATTATCTTATAAAATATTTTTACCAGGGTAACCATGACATAAGACATCAATAGGAGTTGCACGTTTTGTATCACCAATTTTTTGATAACGTTCACGTAGATTTTCAGCTTTTAAACCTTGCCAAGGTAAACTACCACGTAGAAAATATAAAAACATATGACCTAAGGCCTCTAAATCATCACGCCGAGATTGTTCTGGAAAAAAAAGCAAACACTAAAATGAAATAAGGTTACACTTATACAATGATGATTAGTAGTAATGATTGATCGCTCATTGAATATCGATAATAATAATAATAATAATAATAATAATAATAATAACAATATCAACTGACAAATATTATGCCAGGTTAGTGTAACCAAATTGGATCCGATTCTATGAATCTAAGGTGACCCATACTGAGTTTTATTATCAAAATTAAATTAACAAGTGTGTGTAATGCTAGTTAGTCAGTTATGCGCAATGTGAAACTTGGCACATTGGTTCAGGTCATCATACTATATTAAAACAGTAAGATGAAATTATCAAAACAAATACCAGAGTGGTAGAAGTAGTAACAGCATCAGTGATAAAAAAACATGGTGTCACTCAAGGAGCAACTTCCTCTTAATTGGTTGATAAAAAGACTAGTCCAAAACAAAACTTAATACATATGATATATGGGAACTGAAGATAATTGGAAAAGGAGACCAAATATACAAATGCATAAACGAAAGCTGTAACCGAATATTTGGGACCACAAAGAAAATGAACAGTCACTACAAAAAATGATCACACTTTAAGCCAAACAAAAACAGACGTGATCAGACTCAAATGTGCGCTCAATGCGTTCAAAATCTATGGGATAAAAGGGTGGTTATGACGATACAATCAAACGACTCACAACTCAATATGAACAGAACCGAACGTCTCAAATAGCAGATGCAACTCAAAAGACTGAAACAAATTAGCCAAACGAATCAAATCATAACAATGGACATCAATACCCATTCGAGGACTGTAAAAAACGTCATTCCAGCACAGAAAGGAATTATCATTGTTATACAGTTTACAAATGGTCGGCAATTATCGGGTAAGAAATAAAGCCAAGAAGCTGTAAAATAGAAACAACTATTGCACCCCAGTAGTTATGCCATGTTATAACCAATGGATGTTTCCAGAAAAGCCAATAGGTTTCATTAACCCAAGAGAGCTGGAAGGGGCACCCACAGGGAACAGTGTCAGCAGTGGAAGTAAAAATGATTAAGTACATACGATATACTTCAAGAAGAGTCTAGCTAATAAATTTATAGTTTACTAAAGACTTAGATGGAACATAACTTCATATTATGTCATTATCACCATAGTAACTATATAATAACAATTCAGTTAAATTACGTTTTTATACAAAGTTTAATTCCAAACCTTGAAGTAACCAAACATGTAACTGGAATTAAATCTAAAGGAAAATCTTTCGCATAACGATTTTTTAAAAAAAAGCTTAATACGAAATAGCTACGATTTCTAAATTAAGCACCAAAATGAATGCCACGGTAAACTTTCACTTTAATAGAGCAGTAGTTTAAGCACTATTACTGGGTTTCAAGTCCCGAAGTGAACATCAACTCTAGAATGCAAATACATCTAGCTGACGACTCTCAAATAGGACGAAACGCGTGCCCTGGATTCCCCCAACAACTGTTACATAAAAAACAATCTGGAAAATGTTTCACAACAAATTGTAAATCCGTAACTCCAAGATATAAAATAAAATTACGTGAGACTATAATCTATGGACAACCTTTGAGAATGTTCACCTACTTTAATAGGGTTAGTCTTATGTCTCGAACATATTACATAATGGATGTGAATATGTACAGTCATTTATTAGGAGAATGAAACGTTGACACTATTCAAGTATTTTAGACTTTTCTTTTAAACTACTTTTATTCGTTCAGAATAGCCCGTTGAAAAGAGATTTAAAATTCTGTTAACTGACAAGAAATACATGTACCCCCAAATGCCCTAATACGGTCAGGAGTGGGGAGAGTCTGCTCTCCCTCTCGAAATGCTTTCACAGGGCCACGTGTATATAGCCATAACATAATTTAGTATTATTGTTGAGTTAAAATTAAGACCATTTTTCGAAAAAAAACTCATTTGACTTCATGTTAAATGAATAACTTAGTACTATCAAACTTCATTAATTAACTTATCTACCTACTAATACCAGATAGTACAGATTCATGTACTTGGCTGCTTCAAGTTACATTCTAAATAAGAAATTTAGCGACACTACCTGATACTCCGAAACCGAATTAGGTAAGATCAGGAGTTATGCATCTGTACTGGGCAAATAATTTTTATTCTAATGAACAGTAAATTTTTCGACTTAAAGATTAGTAATGAGTATGTGAAGTAGCTTAGTGATTAAAACATTCAAGTTCTAGCTACTATGTTTCTCAAGTGAGAATCCTATTCTACCTACTTTGGTTTAAGCAACAGAGTAGTATCATTAGCCTTCACACCTAGAGTATGACTTACAGCTAAGTACCTAGATAAATGAATTATTAGTAGAAGTGAATATTGTCAGATCTCTGTACGAATTCAAAAAGCTCATTTAGTTTTTGCCAACTTATGTCACCTATGGCGAAGGCAAGATATCCGTCTATCAATTAAAAGACGAGCATACTGCGTGGAAGTTCGTTCTGTTCTACTTTATGGCTGAAAAACGTGGCCATCAAGAGTGGAGAATACTCGTAAGTTACTAGCATTTGGTCACATATGTCTTAGAAATATTGCTTGTCTCCGCTGGGATCACCGGGTAAGTAACAGTGAGGTTAGACGATAGGGTATTAGGGAATGATGATAAATCAGTTGATGAGGTTGTGAATCTTCATCGACTGAGAAGGTATGTCCACGGAATGATACATACCAAACCACCGACTACCATCGTTCACAATACTGACTAATGTTGGAGATGAATGGAAGAAAGTTAAGGTCGGCCAAACCAAGGCGTGGCATCAGTCCTTGAAGTCACTAACTTCTGGTCTGAGCCATGTTGATAGATGCAGACTATATGGTTGGGGTCAGCGCGACTATCGTAACCAATGGTTGGAGGTTCTAGTTGACATGACTCAGAATCGATCACAATGGTGTAGGTGTACACACCCTTTGTCTTCCCTCAAATCGTGAGATAAAGAGCACTTTATACCTTTCTATGAATTAATTCTTTCTCCCTTTATCATATCCTTATATCCAATCTTCTTTGTTTTACATATTGATACCATTGAAGTAACTGCTTTTATGAATTTGGTGTTTATCTTTTTGTGCTGTAGTGAACAAGAACACGAGTGTGGACAATCGAATGTATTCAAGCACAAATTACAGACTATCTCAATAAATTCTGAAAACCATACAGTAAACAGTTAATTTGCAAAATTACAATCAATTGTTTCAATCTTGACTGTTCCTTCTGCAAATATCCGTCCATAGTCTCCGACTACAATTGTTCATGCATTTTCGTACCAATTGCATGCCGTTCCCGTTCTCTCTTTATCGATCTTCTACTGATGAAATACGTTCAATGCCCGACCATCACCATATACTACTTTTATGGATATAAGCAGACCACGCCATAGTGCAGGATTCCAGACTGGCAGGATTCTAATCCTGTACTCACCCTGGATGGTGAGCAGATTGAAGTAGTTGAGAAGTTCGTGTATCTAGGTAGCTACATAAGTACTGGTGGTGGCGTGAGTGATGAGATCGATGAACGTATAATGAAAACCAGAGCGGCTTATATCAATCTGGGCCATCTTTGGCGCCTTCGTGATGTTAGTCTGGCTGTAAAAAGTCGGATTTACAACGCGTCGGTGAGAGCAGTTTTGCTCTATGCTTGTGAAACCTGGCCTCTCCGAGTTGAGGATGTTAGACGTCTCTCTGTGTTCGATCATCGTTGTCTCCGAAGGATTGCTGACATTCAGTGGCAACACCATGTTAGTAATGCAGAGGTTCGGTATCGTGTGTTCGGGTGCAGAGACGATAACTCAATTGGTGTCACCATCTTGAAACACCGACTTCGGTGGCTTGGACATGTTTTACGAATGTCGTCCCAGAGACTTCCACGTCGTGCATTATTTGCCGACCCTGGGACTGGTTGGAAAAAGCGGAGAGGTGGTCAGTGTATGACATGGTGTCGTGGCATGAAAGAAAGCTGCACAGGGCTAGCTTCTGTTGGTCCTTCATGACTCCCTGGCTGAGGTCCGAGAGATGGTGCAACACAGTGGCTAGAGACGTTATCAGATATGGCTCAGAATAGAAGCCAGTGGAGAGCCTGTTGTAACCTTCTTTTACTTTCTACATAAAGAGTGGTTCTAACTTTCTTAACTGAAAAAGTCTTCTGGTTTTACATTTCAGTCCGCCTTATCTTTTCATCCCTTCTCTTCCTACTTTCATTATTTTGTGTGGCGCATATGTATCTGGTGCCCTTTTGTACCAATATATATGTGTTTAAATAAAATAAATAAATAAACACCATAGTGTAAATAAGGTATATATATATATATGTCTGGTCCTACGTTGTCGCTAACTGACATTTTTTTTTGGAAATCAGTTAATCAACCAAATATTGCCAAATAATATTAAAAACTCTTAAAGTATTTAAGTATTATAATACATATAATTAATTCATTAATTAAGATTGTCAAGAATAATATGAACAATAATAATGTTACCTTTGCCTAAATGTGTATTAATACTCATATATCGGGCAGTACCAGTAAGACTTTTATGTTCACGATAAGGAATGTGTTTTTGAGTTTCTGGATCAATATATTCTTTAGCTAAACCAAAATCAATTATATAAATAGTACGATGTCTATTATAATATTGACGTCCAATAAGAAAATTTTCTGGTTTAACATCACGATAAATTAAATGCTTTGAATGTACATATTCAATACGTCGAAGCTAAATGAGTTTCAAAAATAAAGAACAAGAAAAGAGAAACAATAATAATAACCATAAAGAGGAAAGAAAAGAATGTATTTAGTCAATACGTCGAAGTAAATACACAAATATTGGTACAAAGGAGCACCAGATATACATGCGGCGCAGAAATCTCATTTCATTTGTGTGAGGGCTTTGATATTGTCCGGGTGCCCAAACTGAAGCAGGTGGTTTTCTTAGGAGGCAACACCCGGATCATCTGACCCAAAGGTCTGATCCATAAGACAGTGGAGCTAGTGAGGAACAGCAGTTTCATGGTAGCCGATGATCAACGATTGATTCATACGCCATTTGTTCCTTCAGGATACTGAAGCCAGCTCATGTGTACCAATGATTTGGAATCAGGGTTTTCCAACCCCTCTAGGTGGAGCTTCCGTCCAAGAACCCGGTTAAAGCGCCGGACATTCGCTTTTCGTTCTCTCAATTCCGTAAACACCCCCCTGCACGAGAAGGCAGAGAGTAGGAGTTCCCTGGAAGAGGCTATATACGCGTGGCCATGTGGGAGCATTTCGAGAGGGAGAGCTGGCTTCCCCCACTCTCGGTTGTACCAGGATATATGGGGGCAAAAAAAGGAAAAACAATAATAACCACAAAAAGAAAAGAAAATAAAAGAATAGGAAATAGGACCAATTGAGTAATAAATAAAACTAAAGTTATTTTCACTAGATTATATCCATATAGACAAATACATAAATTACTATTGTGAATATAATTATAAAGCAACTTAAATGCCAAACTAGACTGGTTTGCTGGCAATAAAAAAACAATGTATAAGTAAATCATATCATATGCTCACTAGTGACTGGCTTCAAGAGATATTTCCTGGAATTCTAGTGAGAAGCAGTAACTAGTGGAGTTCAACCAGGTCTATTGGGAGATATCAACTCACTGAAGATATTGGTGAAATGGTTGCTCAACTTCGTGGATTGGTTGAAGTTAGACACTAATACCGTCGGATACCGGCTCAGTGGTCTATCGGTTAAGTGTTCAGGTGTGAGACTGGTAGGCCATGGGTTTGAATCTCGCGAGGCGGGATCGTGCATGCGCACTGCCACTGAAGAGTCCTACAATAGGACGAAACGGTCGTCCAGTGTTTCCAGGTTTTCCACGGTGGTCTAGCTTCAATTGACTTATAATTTCAACTATATAAAAAAATTATTAAGGATCTCCACAGAAAACCCCTAAATCATATAACTTTATTTTTTTAGCCAAATTTAGTGTATAACATTTTACAAGTTGTACAATATTTCAAATACATTCACTCAATGAAACTTAAAGACTCTCATTGGATTGGTCAGTCTAGTTATTATGAAGTCTAGCACAATTGTAAATTGGTCCTAGCTATCATATCAGATTAATACAACGACGAGAAGAAAATAATAAGATGAATGGTAAAAACAAAAGATTGAAGTAAGGTATTAGCAATAATACCAATGAAATACTAAAACATTGGGAATATGGTCCCAGTGGAAAAGTATGTAAGGAGGAATATTGGGATTTCAGATTAAGATAATGATAAGGAGTGAATGGATTTGTACCAATGTAAACCATTCTGAATTCTGTCATTTAAAGTCTTCAATCATTACTCGTGGTTTATAGTAATGTGGACTCTGACAGGATAATCTGAATTGATCAACATGGCTGTGAGCAACATTTAACGATTTTATAGTTTAATACCATATCCTAGTTTGGTGACACTTAACACAATGATTTTGAGAACAGACAATGAGTGATTATGCTAACTTCATGATTCAATGAAACTGACGAATTGCAGATAGAAAGAAATGCGCGTCTTAGACTTCACTACTAGCCCCAGTCCATGTATTCTATTAACTTCAATAGTTGTGGATTATTTGTGGTTAGACGTGGAAACACAGCATACTTACGTGACTGATCCTTTTACCCATCTCTTTTCAGATAATAGACTCATTGAATCCGAAAGTAAACTTTCAACGAAAAATGAAAATGAATTCATGCTCATTGAATAGTTCAAATTGTTATACTTCTAATTAGCATGTGGAACATAGCATTTGAAACGTACGTTAAGATGAAAAGAAAAATAACACTTAGAAAGATTAAAATAATTAGGAAATATAACCATATCGTTAGAAATGTTAGCCAGTTTCTCCAATCACTTATTTTCCCCGGTCGATTGGGAGACAAATCTTTATTTACATAGTTGAAAGCGTGAGTCAATTGAAGCTAGACCACCATGGAAAACGTGGAAGCACTGGACGTCCGTTTCGTCCTATTGTGGGACTCCTCAGAAGTGCGCATTTACGACCTCGCCTCGCGAGATTCGAACCGAGGACCTACCAATCTCGCGCCAGATCATTTAACCGATAGACCACTAAGCCGGCATCCGATGGTGTTTATGTCTAACTCCAATCAATCTTTATTAACCGAGTTGTACAGGACACACGTTATATATGTGATTAGCCACCACAAATCCACATGAGCCAATATGACTAGCAAATAAGTAAGCTAGAAGAAAACCGAAGGTGATAAAACTAGGAAGTGGAAACAGTTCATGAAGTCAGTAATTTCTGATTTACAGTTAGACTATTTGTGTGATAGCTAAGGACACTACTATGTTTGCAAAGAAAACCATGCGGGTAAGGATTCGAACATGAGATCGACAGGTTGAAAGTTGTGTTCGAACCATTGAATCATATATTTAATAGTTACAGAAAGGTTGGAACTAGTGACTTGATGACAAAAATCTGAATGTTGAATAAGAAATGGAGTAAGGTTATAAAGTCATTGACAGTTAGATCAAGTCACTTTGATAAATCCAGGTTTTGTTAATAGTGATGCAAACACCGAAATAAGCGATTGGAGATAACTAATGACATGGCTTACATTCGCCCAGTAGGACAGATACATTACTCTTTGTATTCTTCTAAATCTTGAGCTTTAATTTTATTTCGTACTTTTTAGAAATGACAAGACAACCTATGTATAAATAAATTCTAAAACAATCAAATGAAAAACATACCAGCTGGATTGCAATCATTAGTACAGTTTTCAAAGAGAACTGACGTTTACATGATTCAAATAGATCTTCTAAAGATGGACCAAGCAATTCCATTACAAGCGCATTATGTCGGCCTACTGGTCCAAAATAATAAACCATTGGAAATCCAACAACACCACCACTTAGAAGTATACGATAAAATCGATACTCTAAATGCAATTGAGGAGCACGAGTTTTCATTGGTTCAAGTTTAATGGCAACATATTCATTGGTATACAAATTACGGCCTACAACAAAAGTTTTGAACAAAAACGTTAAAAATGAAAATAACAATTACTAACAAACTTTAAATAGACATCGTTAAAAATCTTTTTTTCAAAGAATGCTACTGTAATATTTTCTATTAGGACTACTTGTAGTTATGTGGTGTGCTACTGATGTCGACATATATAAGTAGTACGCATCACACACTAATCAGAAGTGAAATAACTAGTGGGAGAAGGTTAAGCAGATTGAAAAGAACAGAATGAGAACTGAAAACGATTGGTGTGAAAACGAAGTAACAATGAAGTCTGAGATGATTGATTGACATTTGCAAATGAAGAATTTGCTGTATGGTTCTCACATTTTACCAAGATATCCGGTAATGTTGCATTAAAATACATTTGATTGTCCCAATTGATATTCTTGTTCACTACAGTTACACTTTCACAAAGAGAAGTGCATTCAAGCCTATTACAGAATATACACAGGAATGAAGTGTAAACGAAGTTAAAGCGTACTTAACAATCGCTAAGACTAATAAAGTTACATCATCAAATAGAACATGAATTACTAAAGTAAATTCCTCGGCATGCCTTTATCCTCTTACGCAGTCATATGAATTAGTATGTGATAGTAGTGTTATAGAACTATTACAAATAGACAATGCAAAAAATATTGGATTTTATATGAATAGATCAAATGAATAAAGATCTACACATGTTATAGTCAATTTTTAATTGGTTATTTTCATTTGTGGTACATGCTACTTATGTTGACAGGTATAAGTAGTATGTAACCTTAATCGAAAGTAGAATGTTTGGCAGCAGAAGACTGGATTGAAGAAAACAGAAATGAAATCGGAGAGCAACCAAAATAGCAACACAATTAGAGGAATAATGAAATATGTAAAAGACAACTGATGATGTATGATTTTCATATTTTACTAAGCGACTGTGTAATTTTGCACTCAACAACAAATTCGTTTTTCCCACCCGAATTCTAGTTGACCACGTACTGATAAGAATAATTTTTGATTGTCACATCTACAACGCAAAAGAACGCAGTTCATTTCTGCAGTATATCGAGTAAATAACTGCACTAAGGGGCAAGGACACACATAACAGTCTAAAAACTAAACTAAGATAAATCGTATGTCTTGCCATGACATGAACCATTCGGTTAGAGTACCTACTTAAAATACGTTGATTGGAATTGAGACTTCCTTTTGTCAAATACAAATACACAAATTATGTACAGCAGGGATTAATATCTTAGATAAATGGGAAGAATAAGGTACTAACCAAGACGAAGTTCCCCAAAGTTTCCACAACCAATTTTCTTTCCAACACGGAAATTTGGACCGACCAGCAGTGTATTTCCTTCCCGTGAAGAACGTGGTGCATCTTGTTGCATATTATTCTGCTTTCCTGAATGTTGACGTTCTTCTTTTTTCTGAGAAGTTGTACCAGACCCTCGATGACCTCGGTTACTAGTAGAGGTCTGGTTGGTTTGCTGTGTTAACATTCCACTCTTAGAATCAAAATGCAGATCCCGTGCATTTGAATAACAACTGGTTGGTCATATTTTTAACACACACAAATAGAAAACTAAAATAATAAGAAAATGAATTTGGAATTATTCAAATGATCGCAAAGATTTAGACAGTTGGTTAACTTGGGGAAACGAGGAATTAACCCACAAGAGTACTTGAAAAAAGGCATTAAAAAAGTTGGTAACGAGTAGGATCGAAAAATGACCAGCAAATAAGCAGTTCTCCAGTAAAAATTAAGTCTAGATAGTTCTATAATCCATAAGAGTATGCAACCACCGGATTATTTTCGGTGTCACATCTTAATAGAATTACTCCTTATTTCTATCGTTACTTTCTGCAAATCAATGTTTTACTCCACTATAATAGCAAAAAATAAGACGAAATATCTTATTTGAAGCAAGTCTAGTATCTTAGGTAATTCTTTCCGTTAGATGAGCTAGCTGTAGTTAGTATATTCATATGACTGATATGAAAATAAATAGAATATAACTTATAGGGTGTATTTCCCTGTTGTTGATACTTGGAATTAAAGTTAATCAGCCTCTATTAACAAACGTTGTTATGTCCCAATAAGAACAGTGAATAGTAACTTTGGAATCCGTTCATGAACCAATACTATGTCCATAATTTTTATCGTATAATTGCTAAGTAACTAAACTATTCATATTCATTTCCCCCTTATTATGAGCTTTATTTTGAACTATAAACCATTATTATGTGATTTACCACTCTTGATTTATGCCCAGTCTATTAATTAATGTTCCCCTTATTCACAACCACATTTAGTTGAATCTTGTACAAATGTTATTTTCTATTATATGGTACGATGTGGTCTGTCTGTTTGGTATATAAACCCAGTACGTTTGAGAATAATGATTCATATTGCAGGGGCTGAGATTGGTGTTCTGGACTTAACTGGCTGGGATAGGCAGAAATCAGGGCCGACAAGTACTCTAGACTGCTAGTACGGGTTTTGTGTTATTGGTCTGATCGATAATTCACTGCTCTCTAATTGGCGGTATTATCACGTCAAACATTAACAGGGCATTCAGGCGGTCACAAGTTATAACAAACGTCCATCCTATGCGGATGTATTGACATTACCTTTTCATTACAAACTTCTAGGTCTGAATTATAGCTAGGAGCGGAACCCAGGACGAGCATATCATCTCACCCGGGACTCGTCATCCGAACCTACCTGTATCTCAGTGAATGTTGGAAAACCTGGGTAGTATGGCTCAGACTTTATTTAAAAACATAAACACTGGTACAAAAGGACACCAAAAATCCTCATACAATGAAAATGAGATGGTGAGGAGATAGAGAAAGGAAGGTGATTATATTAACAAAAAAGACAAAAATGAATTAGTGAGTGAAAAACAACAATAATAATAATGGAAGAAACAGTTTAGTTAAGAAAAATACGAACAGAAAGAATCCTTTCAGCTAAAAAAATTTACACTCACTTTTATGAAGAAAGAAAAATAAAGTAACAGTAGGATCGCCATTGGCTTCTATTCTGAGCTATGTCGGATAACGTCCCAGGCCACTGTGCTGCACTATCAGTCAGACCCCAACAAGGGAGTCGTGAAGGACCAGAAGAAACCATTCCTGTACAGCTTTTTTTCATACCACGACAAAAGCTGATCATTTCTTCGATGTTTCCAACCAGTCTGAGTCAGCAACTAATGCAAGATGTGAAATTCGCTGGGACGACGTTCGTAGTACATATCCAAGACACAGAAGTAGGCGTTTCAAGATGGTAACGCCAATCGAATTATCGTCACTGTATCCGAGTACGTGTTTTAGAACCTTCGCATTGCTAACACGGTGTTACCATTGGATGTCAGCAATCCTTCGAAGACGATGATGATCGAACACAAAGAGCCACTTAACATGTTCGACTCAAAAAGGCCAGGTTTTACAAGCATACAAAACTGTTCTTACCAAAGCGTTGTACGTCCGACCTTTTAAGGCCAGACCAACATCAAGAAGACGCTAAAGATGACCCAAATTGGAATAAAGCACTCTAACTTTCACTGTATGTAAATTGATCTCATCACTCACGCCACCACCAGCACTTACACAGCTGCCCAGATATATGAACCCGATTACTTCTATTTGCTCACTACCAAGAGTGAGTGCAGGTACAGGGTCCTACCATTTTTGTAAAAGTACTTTGAACTTAGGTGAAAAGTACTTGGGTATCGTCGAGCAATAAGTCAATATCATCCGCATACTCAAGGTCGAAAAGTCTCCAGGTAATAGATCCACACCATAATTACTTACATCCATCAGAGCCGTCTCAAGAACGTTATCAACGCCATATTTGAAGGGGAATAGCGAGATTGGGCAACCCTAAATAATCGTACTGCTTGAATGAAACATTAGAGAGAGGTATTTCTGTGCCCTCACTCTGCCTGAGGCATTTGTATATAAAGTTTTTAAGATGTTAATGGGCTATTCAGGTACACCATTCAATAGACGATCCTCGACTAGTCCTACTCTTATGTTAAAATTAAATGGAGAAACTTGAGTTTCGACTCTTGTTGTTTACCTATGAATGACAAAGAGACGAAGAATATTTATCGATTCTACTCAAATAGAAATATAATAAATCAACTCCGTCGGCTGTCTAACAAACTCATTATCAGTTGTGAGATCATCTGGCTAAAGGTACATTGCAGCTTTTGACAGCTAACTAATGACTAGTTAGACAAAAGGTATATCTACTTCGTCCAATATGGCATTTCTTCAAGTTGTTAATTTATCTTACTTATGATGTCTAACTTTTAATTGCTTGGAATTACGTCCTTCGAATCAAATAATATTGAAGAGGAACGTAAACCAGGTTTAGTGGAGTAGTACTAGTAGAGTTTCACAGGAAAGACGGTTTTACTGGTTAATTTTAATAATAAAATATTACTGAAGTTTCAGATAATTAACATAACATGCTTTCTATAAGTACATTTTATCTAAATTCCTTAGACCACGCTTTTGGTTATATTAGTTTGAACCACGTGAACATATATTATTAAATTATTTCAAGATTATGAGATACCCTGAACTCGATTTCAGAAAAGGACAATGGTGAGGTTCAGTCAGTCACAACGTAGAACCTGTACGTATGTACATCGGTTCAAGTTTCCACAGCCCATTAGCACAGAGAGATGTCAGGTCAAATCCCAGAATGGTAGAGGAAATAATAGTATCAGTGATAATAGAAAAGATTAGGCGTCGAAGATATGATTCGAAAAGAAAATATAAATTGAGATGAAAACAAAAAACGTTATGAGGAATCCGAAATTTCAGAATTTGAAGGAAGACAAAGAATGGATGCACCTGTGCCACTGCAAGCGATTTTGAGCCATATCATTTAAAGTCTGACGATTGGTTACAATTATTCATAACAAACTATCTGATGTTTAACTTATTTGGAACTATCAAGTCAAACCTTGGTAATAACACCTACATTAGTAACAATAGTCACAAAGTCCTCAACCAGGTAGTCTATACCTATTAACATGGCTAAGTCAAATAGTGAAGGTTCCATCTAATAACGAAAATGAAGGCCAGTAAATGCACAACAGATTAAGTTACACAGGAAAAGCAGCCAGTAATAATCTTCATGGTGGAGAAGATTTGTAGCTCAGAGAACAAACCAACATCAGTAATCTTCATTGCTAACAGTAAACTAGGTCCCAGCAGATTACTATAAGGATCCAAAAAATCAATACACTGAAGAAATGATATGCATATTGTGCCTAGTATCTGACTCCGGTTTTATCGGACGAAGATAATATGAACGCGAATCTCTCCTTTAACTCCGCATATTACCTAGGCTAGCCCCGTTTATGTGACGGTGGTAAAAAAGAAGTCAAACGCGAGTGGTTTTGGAGAAATTCATTTTGGGCATTCGTTTATCCAGACAGACTCAGAATAAGAAGTAGCAAAAAGAGGAAAGCGAAGAGAAACGAAATGATGCGCAGCGGAGAGAAAGAGTGAGCCAACTCGATTTAATCAAGTGTATTATTATTTATTATTTAAACACAAAAATTGGTACAAGGAAGCACCAAATACATATGCGCCACACAAATCTCATTTGATTTGTGTCAGGGCTGTGATACTGTCCAGGTGCCCGAACTGAAACAGGTGGTTTTCTTAGGGGGGCACACTCGGAGTCTTTGACCTTAAGATCTGATTCAAAAGACAATGGAGTATCGTAAAGAGATGCAGTCCCATGGGAGCCGGTGAACAACGATTGATTCATACTCCATTTGTTCCTTCAGGATACTGGAGCCAGCCTATGTGCATTATTGGTTTGGAATCAGGGTTTTCAAACTCCCCTAGGTGAACTTTCCGTGTTCACCAACGCGGTTAAAGCGCCAGACATACGCTTTTCGTCCTCTCAATTTCGTAAACAACACCCGTGATGCGAGAAGGCAGTGAGTAGGACTTCCCTGGCAGAGTAAGTCGATACTTTTGATTAATCAAAATTAAGTTACAGATATGATAAATAGGGTAAGTAATCAACACATAGGATAACATAAAAAGTCAAGTTAATAATCGGATAAGTGGCAAGGTGGAAATGTGGCTTGAGAAGAATGAATAAATTGTTCTGTCCAGGAGCTAGAATAGCTTGTGTGGGCTTGACACAGCACCAGCCATTACATACACACTTAAGTAATAGACTGAGATAGATGCTGAGGCTGAAGGTGGATGAGTATTACCCACAGCACAAACAAAAAGTTATTCATATTCCAGTAAACTTTTACTGAGAAAACCCAGATTAAGAATCTATTAAACATTGTGACTTCCTTGTACATCAATAACTAATGTGGCTTGTTTATTAAGTCCGTGTCTAGGCACTTAGATTTAAGACACTGAGCAGAATAATGGTGGTAATTGATCTCCTAAACCAAGGTATTTGGACGGGATTGAAACCCCAATAAATAATATATCCACATCAACG